GTCAAAAACATGATCAACAATGAAATTTAGGTTGGTTTTCAGAAACGTAAAAAAAGAAGAAGCATATTTATATATAAAGATCTCTGATTGTGTGTCAATTTCTGTTTTTGTTGTTATTATTTGGCGTAGGTTAGGGGCAATCTCCATTTCTGAAGATCTTGCTTCTCTCATGATGATGCTACAAGATCAAAGTTTTGGCTTCTTTCGTTGACCTATTCTTTTACATAACCAACTTGGTTCTCAGATCCTATGATAAGGCTCTTACAATGGCGTCTTCAAACTCAGAGAAGAGATGGATTTTTCCTCTAGCAATGGCTTCTCTCATGTTCATATTCCTTATTGCTGCATCCTTCAACATGGGTCTCCTCTCTTCCGTGCGTTCCATTAACTCAATCATCTTCTCTTACAATCTATCGACCGCGAATGAGACCATCGTTAAATTCGCAGAGTCGAGGATCAATCAGTCCTCGTCTCATCCTATTCCTCGAGTACAGTCTAGTCCTCGCTTTGGTTATCTAGTTTCAGGGTCAAGAGGTGATTTAGAGAGTCTTTGGAGAGTGTTAAGAACATTGTACCATCCGAGGAATCACTACGTTGTTCATCTTGATCTTGAGTCTCCTGCTGAAGAGAGGCTTGAGCTAGCTAAGCGTGTGAGGGAAGATCCTGTTTTTAGCGACGTTGGAAATGTCTACATGATCACAAAGGCTAACCTTGTGACATATCGAGGACCAACAATGGTGGCTAATACGCTCCATGCTTGTGCCATTCTCTTGAAGCAGAGTAAAGATTGGGATTGGTTCATCAATCTTAGCGCCTCGGATTATCCTCTAGTGACTCAAGATGGTATGTACATATATATATCTACTGTCTATTTTGTATCCCGGTTTCGAATAATCTCTGTGCTTGGATCATCAATGCCCCATTTTTCGCTTGCAGATCTTATTCATACATTCTCAGAGTTAGACCGGAACCTCAACTTTATCGACCACACTAGCAAACTAGGCTGGAAAGAGTAATGCTCAATATTATGAAACTTCTCTTTAGATTACTACTTTGGGATGTGTTAAGTTACGGCAATTTTTTTTTGTTTTTTTCCGCAGAGAAAAACGGGCAAAGCCTTTGATCATAGACCCAGGGCTTTACTCGACAAAAAAGTCCGATGTTTTTTGGGTTACACCTCGCAGAACCATGCCAACTGCATTCAAACTATTTACCGGTAACTACAGTGTTCATTAATTCAGTACTTAGTGAGTAAAAATTATGAAAATTGGTGACTAATACGTGTGTTGATGGAAGTTTAGGTTCCGCTTGGATGGTTTTATCTCGGTCCTTCGTAGAGTATTGCATTTGGGGATGGGACAATCTTCCACGGACTCTTCTAATGTATTACACTAATTTCCTCTCTACACCGGAAGGATACTTCCACACTGTGATCTGTAATGCTCCAGAGTACTCGACTACAGTAGTGAATCATGACCTGCATTACATCTCGTGGGACCGTCCTCCCAAGCAACATCCACGGACGCTCAACATCAGTGACACAGAGAGGATGATTGCAAGCGGGGCCGTTTTTGCCCGCAAGTTCAGACACAATGATCCTGCTTTGGCCAGGATAGATAACGATCTGCTTGGTAGAAGTAATGGGAACTTTACACCTGGTGGTTGGTGTGCAGGCGAACCAAAATGCTCTAGAGTTGGTGATCCGTCAAAGATCATGCCCGGTCCTGGAGCTAACCGGCTACGAGCACTTGTTACTAGACTTATTATAACAGCTAAACTGACGCAAAGGCAATGTAGATAGGCTCAGTACGCTTGCAGCTGAATGCACGCAGGAAGTTAGGGGAGAATTCTGTCAAGATGTTTCATGTCGAATTATTCCGTATAATTCTTTCTGCAATCTGACAAACAATGTTGAGATTGTCACTATTTTTCGAAGCCAGAATAATAACCCAATTCACTTATTTTCTTCACATAGAACACTACTCAACAACATCTATGAAATCGCAACAAAAAGGCTTACATTTGGAGGAATATGTAGCAGTGTTGTGACCTTCCATAAAGCTTCTTAAGAAGATTCAATTGTACGGCACTAATCGGAATGTAAACAACCACAACGCTGCATAAATCATGATACATAAACAGTATTTCATATACAGAACAACTTTCCCTACCATTGAGAAACAACCAAATGAGCTTTACATGTACAAAGGGTACGTACAGTGAGAGAGAGACACACTTGCTCAAACTACATGTGAGAGAAGCAGAAGAATCCTACCTTTCTCAGGCCTCTTCCTTTTTTGTTAACCGTTTGCTGTGTTACCATCCGATTTAATTCCGACATAATACATATGTTAACAAAAACACACAGAATTCAAATCCGACATAGTACATGTTGAAGTTCTCGCATTTTGGGTCCATTCTCGACATATAAGGTAAGAAAATAAATCTATCTAATATAAGACCCGTATCTCAACAAGAGGTAGAAACAATAGATGACGAAATGTTCATATGCTTCTCCAACATATACATGGTTCATGAAGATTAGATACAAGGACATATATCAATATATATGAAATACACTGCGAGCAACTGGCCTGCAATTTGAGACCGAACTCGGAACAATGATCTCTGTAGTTCTTATACTTATACCACAGTGACTTCGACTTTTACAGCCTATTTACATCACAAACTATACAATAAGAGAGAGGGAGCTAGAAGAGAAGGAGGCAAAGGACGATGCAACAAAGGAAGAATATCGATACCCGATTAAGAGACTTCTCACGCTGCATCATCCTCTGGTTTTGATAAGGCTGAGCTATTGTGTTTGTGAAGGTTCCGAATATCCTGGTGTAGACCATGTCCCCAAACATTCCAATCACCGGGTACAGAAAACTCATCATTACTGCATTGGCAAGGTCAGTTGATTCTGTTGTGGTGAAGCCACGGGGCGAATACTGGTGGGTACGGAATGTTGGAGACAGAGTTTGATGTTGCAAGCTTGGGTTCAACGATGACTCTGAGGTGATAGGATTGTATAAAGGTGTTAAAGCGGGTCTGCGGGGTATTTCTGTGGACCCTGCATCTTGTTTCTTGGAGCCAAACGTGGAAGACATGCCTCTTCCATAGAGAGGAACCAATGAGGTGACGGTAACGTTAGACTTGCAGACAGGGCAGTTTTTCTGGTGCTGATCAATGGAGACGGAAGATAACTGAACATGTAACCACCTGTAAATGCAAGCCCAGCAGAAAAGGTGTCCACAGAGAGTGACGACCGGATCATGGGCTGTGTCTAGACATATGTTGCAATCAAAACAGCCACTTTCATTAGCTTGACCTCCCGTCGGACCCGTGTTGAAATTAGGTTTTTGTTTGACTATGAAGCCATCATCATGTGATGGTTGAGCATCAGACGTGAAGAAATTCCCTTCCATGGGAGGTAAAGATCCTGTTCAAGGAAAACATAACATTATCAGCTATCTAACCAATAGAAAGAAAATGTGAGATCTTTATACCCCAACAATGCCTATGATTTGACTTGTGTCTCTAAAGGTCAAACCCTAAGCAATTCATTGCGAGAATCTCGATCTTAATTCCAAGCCGGAAAAACTAGGATTCAGATTCCAATCCTCTAACACCAAAATTCCTTTTTTCCCCCAAAATCCAGAAAGTGACGAATCGAAATTGAGAAGCCTAAATCATGCGTTTACATACGCAGGCCAAAAGAATCAATGGACCAACAATTCAAGAGAATCCATACACGAAGACAGATGAAGAAAAACCTACCGATAAGGAAAAAGCGATGTTACAATGATGAACAAACTGGAGAATCGCCAAGGAGAAGGGTTTGAGGAGGAGATTGAAACAAGGTAATACGCTCTACAAGTCGACGTACGATGATGATAATGGAGGTTTTAAAGACAACGACGGTGATAGCTATCGTCTTCGTCTTCGTTTTTAATTACTATATAAAAAAGGATTAGAAACAAAATTAAGACTTTTTTAGTATTGGATTAGCTTTCGGACGTGATAATGATGTATCTAAATATCTTACCATCCACTAATTTCGGGATTAAACAACTCGGTCGATCATGTTAGATCGTAAAGCTACAAATTTACAATTCAAATTACAGTAAATAAATTAATAATGTTAAGATTTTAAAAATTAATTAATTTTAAAAATTATTAATTAATCGATTAATATTAAAATATTAATTTATAAAGGGTAAGAATTTTTTAAAAAAAAATCAAATAATATTATATTAAAAATTTTAATTAAATCTATTTGTAAAAATAA